ATATTCCCTGATTTGATGATCTCAAGGACTTCCCTGGGTCATATTCCAACAAAAGATCAGTAAGGTAAGAAGGTGCCAAGCCGTTTAGAGCTTTATACACCATTAAAAGGACCTTAAAATCAATTCTGTAGCGAACCGGCAACCAATGTAATGACATTAATGTCGGTGTAACGTCGGTGTCATATTTTTTAACCCCAGTCAGGAGCCTAGCCGCTGCATTCTGAACCACTTGAAGTCTAGAAAGTAAGCCTTGACTTATCCCTATATAAAGTGCGTTGCAATAGTCGAGCCTTGATGTAATGAGGGCGTGAATAGAGGACCTTAAAAACAATTCTGTAGCGAACCGGCAACCAATGTAATGCCATTAACGTCGGTGTGATGTGTTCATATTTTTTAACCCCAGTCAGGAGCCTAGCCACTGCATTCTGAACCACTTGAAGTCTAGAAAGTAAGCCTTGACTTATCCCTATATAAAGTGCGTTGCAATAGTCGAGCCTTGATGTAATGAGGGCGTGAATAGCCCTCTCAAAGTTCTTAAAAGACAGAAAGGACTTCACTTTTGCCAGTGCTCTTAGATGGAAGAAACTAGATTTGACCACAGAGCTGACCTGAGTATCGAACTTCAAAGCACTATCCAAATAGACTCCCAGATTCGTTACACAGGGTTTTACATATGGAGAGAGTGGGCCAAGATTAAGATTGGATTTTTTTTTTTGATTCAGGGTGCCCAAATACGATAATCTCTGTCTTATTTTCATTTAAATGTAGAAAATGTACAGCCATCCAGGCCTTTAAATCATTAAGGCAGTAGAGAGTCTAAACAGTGTTTATCTTGTTTTAAGGGGAGATCAATTAGAATCTCATCTGCGTAGCAATGAAAGGAAATGTCATATTTCTTAAAAATTGAACCTAATGGCAGCATATAGATGGAAAATAACATTGGAGCCAAAATGGAACCCTGGGGGATTCCACTAGTAAGTGGGGCTGTACTAGATACAAAGTCCCCAATATTTACTGAAAAGACTACGATAAACAACAGATCTGTCTACCATAAGTTGTACGGTTTATTTACGTTGGGTAGACATATTGATTAACACCGCCACCTAGAGGATTGTTTTAAATCACAGCTCTGCGAATGTAGAACCAAGACATCAATAAAAACAATGATCACATGGCTTCAGTCGAATGGTAGTTCAGGTTTTGTTATTTTGTTTATTTATTTATTTAGAGAGACAGGGATATGGGTGACATGATAGATAGATAGATAGATAGATAGATAGATCTGAACAGTAACAGCTCGTTCTGCACAGCGGTTTTACAACAGTGACAGATTACTCTAAACATTTGTCTAGTAAAACAGTAGTCTAGTTACTATCTCTCTTTCACACATTTACTTACTAGATAGTAGGCAGACAGGTAATCATTCCTGCAGATTGAGTATGTATGAACGAATGAAACCTCTGAATGCAGTATAAGTTGCATTTGATAAAGGGGTTCACTAAATGCAATGTAAATAATTTAACGCGATATCTGCTTTTTATTTAGGCTACTTATTTGTTTTACAGAACAGCTTAGATGAGAGGATTTTGTGTGAGTGTGACTGATAGTATGATGGCATGGTTTGATGGTGTGTTCACTGTTTTTGCCTTGCTGCCCTAAAACAGAGAGCAGATCTGCTGTCTGTACTGAGACGAGCCGTAGTAGTACAGCAGAGGGTCCAGAAAAACACTTGAGCTTCCCAAACACACAGCCAACAGGTAAGCCAAATAGGTATCCAACCCACTGCTTCCCATGGCTATACAAACACAGTGGTACAACAGGAAGCCATTAGATGGTGCAAAGCACACTACAAACTCAGTCAACACAGCAGTAGCCATAATCGCAGCCCTCTTTCGGTTGTCTGAAGAAGATGGTGAAGTTGCTGAGTGATCATGTTTGGCACAGAGCACATATATGATAGTAGAGTAGCTTACTAAGATGACGACTAGCAGCAGGAAGAAGTAGATGCAGGGGATGATTAAGAACACGGATAAGTATAACATCACTGAAGAGTCTTCGTCCAACAAGTCAAAGCAGGTGACTCCCAGATTATTGAAATTGAATGTTTGTCTCAATGCAAGAAGTGGTGTTATGCCAGCAAGCACCAGCAGCCAGACCAGCACACATACACATCTGGCTTTCCTTGTGCTCCTCCAGGTCAGAGAGGCGATGGGAAACGCCACGGCCAGCAGCCTGTCCACACTCATGCACATCATCAGCAGTATGGAGCAGTACATGTTGCAGTAGTAAGTTGCACTAAGCAAACGACACGCCGCCTCACCGAACACCCAATCTGAAGCGTTCAGCTGGTAGTGGATCTTCAGAGGCAGCAGCAGGGTGAAGAGCAGGTCCACACACGCCAGGTGAGACATGTAGATCACAGCTGGTTTCTTCTCTCGAATCTTACAGGTGAACGTCACCATGGCCAAAGCATTCAGGGGTAAACTAAGGAGGATTACTAAAATGTAGATCGAGGGCATGACTCGTGTGACCATCAAGCCTTTAAAGAGGAGAACGACCTCGTGTGGGGCGACCAATGGCCCAAAGGATGTTATAGTTTGGTTATTGTAAATCACTGCACTATTATTTCTCTTAAACATTGGTACTTGTCTCTTAATTGTCTGGTTAAAAAAGCCAAACGGAAAATAGTTCATGAGGCCAGAATCTGTAACAAAACACAGCACAGTCAATCCTTTAATTTACTAGCTTTAGTGCAAAACAAAATCCATCTGACAACAGATCTCATTTACTATAACAACTACAGATCATCAGAATTATAAATAACTGTTGCACTATTTTACCTAATAAGCTAGGTAAATTCATTTTTTAGCACATCAACAAGTCACAACTGAAAATCATGTCAGATCACTGATGTACTTACCGTTGAATGAATGATCCGTAAATGAAGGAAATTCACAAAGTCCACCATGATTTCCGATTAACTGTCAGTTTCAAGAATTTCACAACTTACAATCGTCAAACTTTAGAATCTCTAGATGGACAGACACGGCCATACAGTGTTGTGCTGAAGAAGGTGATTTCTAATCACTCGAAGATGGAAGGATGCGCTTTAAAATGAGGTGACATCACTGAAGTCTTCAGTGCGTGAGTTGGGAAGATAAATAAATGTTGACTGGTTTGGGTGTGACTCACCCAAAAGTGCTACCAGTATTTCAATACATTTTCTCCTCTGCGAAACATCCCCTCACGTATTAATGCATATTGTCAATTTGTTTCTAAAGTTTTTTGTATTAATGATCAACAGTATATTTAGTTTATGCAAATTTGCTAGGGATACTTAATGGACATACTGTAAACAATAGCACTTCTGTTAACATTGCACACTGAAAACAATATATAAATAAATCACAATGAAGGGGAAATTACACAATCCATTTCTGGGTCTTGCGGTCTGAAGCTTTGCACTCTCCTGACCATACATTGATGCATGTGGTTAGAACACAAATCTCCACAGAATGTGTAAGACCAAGTGATGTTGCCTGTAATAAGCAGATCTGGAAACTTGATGCTAATGACTGTTTCTTCGAGGAACCATTGATGTGTGGTGGGAAATGTTGATTTTGGGACATCCTGAAGTGATCTGCACGTTCGCAGTGACTGTGCACCAATACCAACACCAAGAAATTAGGCAATTTCAATCAGAAGTTTACAAATAATATTACAGATTCATAGTATCTGCATTTCATAGTGACCGACAGGAATGTAAAGTAGCTACTTTGTTAATGTGACTCAAAAAAATATGAAAGAGTTTGAAGGGAAAAAAACTAATAATTGTCTCTGCTACCCCAAACATGTTAAATGAATAGCAACATAACTGTTCACCAAGGTGTATTTTATTAAATATTGGAAAATGGCTCACAATAACAAAAAATTATGCGCCAAATCAATAAGTAATGTATTGGGTTTTCATTGACATCTGACTCTTTTCAATGTAAAAAAAGAAAACAATATTTAACTGTGACACTAAGAACTAACTGCTTGGTGACAATATAATTTATTACTGTTTATCAAAGTGGGATGAGTGAGGAACGTGCCAGGACTCAAACTCGAGTCGAAACAAAATGAACTCTGACAGCTTTATTATAACTAATGATGAATTACTCACGGTTTTGGTGTAATGCATTTTAGGAAATAGCTAGTCTAGCAAATTTAAAATGCATTAAACACAACGGCATGTATACACTGAAAGTAGACCTATTGATAACCACTTAGAGGATTGCTTTATCACAGCCTCTGTGCGAGTGTAGAATAAAGACGCGAGTACAATCAGTGATCAAATGGCTTCAGTCAAATGTTATTACAGGTTTTATTTATTTTTATTTTATTTATTAATATAAATAGTATGTTATGTATTATGAACAATATTCTCCAAGACCTTCACTGACACAACACAATATTGCTAATATACAGTGGGTACGGAAAGTATTCAGACCCCCTTCAATTTTTCACTCTTTGTTATATTGCAGCCATTTGCTAAAATCATTTAAGTTATTTTTTTTTCCTCATTAATGTACACACAGCACCCCATATTGACAGAAAAACACAGAATCGTTGACATTTTTGCAGATTTATTAAAAAAGGAAAAACTGAAATATCACATGGTCCTAAGTATTCAGACCCTTTGCTCAGTATTTAGTAGAAGCACCCTTTTGATCTAATACAGCCATGAGTCTTTTTGGGAAAGATGCAACAAGTTTTTCACACCTGGATTTGGGGATCCTTTGAAGGGGGTCTGAATACTTTCCGTACCCACTGTATGTGTGCATACAGAGACAATGAACACCTGCACTTTATTCCATGTTGGTAAACACTGGCAAATAAATACATGTGGTGAACTTCTCAAGCAAACAAAGGATACAGCTCAGAAAATGGCTAGATGTTGTTTTAATAGAGATCTGCTTTTATTTTTTCCTGTGAAGCTGTAGTGCAGAGAGAGGTTTTTATGTGTCTGACAGCGTTTTTGCTCTCTTTTTTGCTTTATTGCACCAAAACACAGAGCGGATCTGCTTTCTGCATTGAGACGAGCCATAGTAGTACAACAGAGGGTCCAGAAAAACACTTGCACTCCCCAAACACACAGCCAACAGGTAAGCCGCATATGATGACTCTCCCTCACGGTGGCCTCCATTAGCTAAAAGATAACAGTGGTACAACATGATGCCATTGGTTGGAGCAAAGCACAACACAAACTCAGTCAGCACGACGACAGCCATAATCACAGCTCTCCTTCGGTTGTCTGAAGATGAAGATGATGTTGCTAAGCGATCAGATTTTACACTAAGTGCATATATGATGGTGATGTAGCTTAGCTAAAAGATAACTGGTACAACATGATGCCATTGGTTGGAGCAAAGCACAACACAAACTCAGTCAGCACGGCGACAGCCATAATCACAGCTCTCCTTCGGTTGTCTGAAGATGAAGATGATGTTGCTAAGCGATCAGATTTTACACTAAGTGCATATATGATGGTGATGTAGCTCGCAAAGGAGATGACCAGAGGCAAGAAGTAGAGGCAGGAGAGGATGGAGAACAGGTACACATAATACATTACTGTTTTGTAATTTTTGCGTAGCACATCATGGCAGGTGACGCCCACATTTTCAGTCTTAACTGTTTGTCTCACTAAGAGAAGTGGCACAGTACCAGCGATCGCCAGCAGCCAGACCAGCACACATACACATGTGGCTTTCCTTGCATTCCTCCAGGTCAGAGAGGCGACGGGAAACGCCACGGCCAGCAGCCTGTCCACACTCATGCACATCATCAGCAGTATGGAGCAGTACATGTAGCAGTAGTAAGCTGCACTGATCACACGACACGCTGCCTCACCGAACACCCAATCTGAAGCATTCAGCTGGTAGTGGATCTTCAGAGGCAGCAGCAGGGTGAAGAGCAGGTCCACACACGCCAGGTGAGACATGTAGATCACTGCTGGTTTCTTCTCTCGAATCCTACAGGTGAATGCTACCAAGGCCAAAGCGTTCAGGGGCAAACTAATGAGGATGATGAAAATGTAGAACGAGGGCATGATGCGTGTGGCCACTGGGCCTTTGAGGAAGAGAACAGCATCCTCTGTGATATTGTATGTGTCCTGTGTTGTCTTGTTGCATTTCACTGCATCCAGATCAGTGCTGTTACATGGCTGTCTAAATTGAATAATTTCTTCAAGGACTTGGACAATACGGGTAATGATTTGACCTGTAAACAACATGCAAAAATAAATAATAATAAAAAACAACAACTGTAAAACTTCTCATAACACCACCAGACAAATATCAGTGAATAGAGGGCTTTTTACTCTTGAAATAGTTTACTCTTATAAACCTCGGTTAAATGGAATCCTGGGTTATCTTGCTTCACGTTTCACACTGCTCATAATTTACCTAGTGTTAACAATTAAGGCTGGCTATTCAAAAACTGGCATTTCACACTGTACATTCCTAATGCTGCGTTCCAGAAAACTCAAAATTTGGATTTTTCCCACCACCTATTTGGAAATGAGGTATTGAACGCTGCTTGCGTTATTTGACATCACTGCTTCCAACTAGTATAGTGTGGAGCTATCTTATGTCAATCTTCAAAACATTAGACATTAAGTTTATAAAATGATGCTTTAATTTTTAGCTGTTTTCAAAAGAAAGAGAATATCACACACAACGAATATAATTCGTGAAGATGGATCAATACCAACTGTTCATGATCCAACACATCCAGAACATGTAATTACCGCACTTTATATTTTGTTAATGTTTGCAAATCGACTTTCTGCTTGTGCTTGTTACACACTATACGGCTAATGTGGCTAAAGTGACCATTGTCTCTGACTGTATACATAGAGACCAGAGCTATGTTGTTATTTTTTATTTTTAAGAAGTAATAAAGATGTGTTTATGAATTATACAAATGGTGAGCGTTTTCGGGTTAAAAAATAAAAATAACAACATAGCTCTGGCCTCTGTTAATACAGTAAGAGACAACGTGCTATCAAGCACATTCACAAAATATAAAGTCAGATAATTGCATGTCCCAAATATGTAGTTGGATCACGAACAGTTGGTATTGATCCATCTTTTTGTGCAAGTCCTGCTTTTTAATGACCCTCATTTTCAAAGCAGTGTTGTGATGATTTGCACAAACATATAGGAATTTAGCTATTTTCTTGGACAGATTCCTTTCATAAATCAAATTAATCCATCACGTCCTCTGCTCTGACATCAAGACAAAATGAAGACTCTTATGTTCACTTTTACATCCAACCTAAACCAAAAAAAAAACAAAAACTTGAATTGCCCCTTGTGGGATTAATAAAGTTGTTAACTTAAAACACCTGAAGCGCTCATGAGACATTGTTGAAAACAGTGCACAACTGGCTGAAGGCGGAAACTATGCTAATATGGGACAGGCCGTCAGCAGTCATGGGTGGGGCCTGAGGAGTATGACGTCATAGTGCTCAGAAAATCAAAACGCTTGATAATTGAGACTCTTCAGGTTTTTTGGGGATTAAAAAAAAAGGAGCGGGTGGATTTGTATCATTGTAGGGTGGTTGTGTCCACACACTGCTAAGACACATTTATATGCAAACAACATCTAAAAGTGAATTTTGCATAATAGGTCCTCCTTAACACCGTAAAATCATTGCTAACTCTGCTCTGGGTAAAGATTCATAACACCAACCTTGCTTTATGTTACAAGTGTGAAATGTTCCTTTACTCGGAGTTAAAAGCGTGGTTTAGAACGACAACAACCCGTGGTTAAGAAAAGCTGTGTGAAAAGCTTTTAAGGTGATGGTGTTAATTTAAAGAATTAATGTAAAACAGTAACAGTTTACAGTAAAAATACTGAATCAGAACCTATGTTTTCTGTGTGGCTTTTTGAGTTGTTTGCATCACCTCCTGTGATTCGTTCCAGAATCTTTAAAATAAAAATAGAAACCTGAAATCCTCTAAATTCTCAAACAATGGCCAGTCACTTACTGTACAATATGCATAGCACTTCCTTTTTGAAAAATAATTTGATAATGAACTGAAGTAATGATCACACATTACACAAATAGCCCAGATGTTACAAATTGCTTCTGCAAGTCTGGAAACTTTACCTGGAAGCTCTGCTATGGAATAGTTTGTGGAAAAATTTCTGGAATAGTCTCCAGAATAATGTCCATAAAACACCCCATCCGAAAAGGAATCATTTTCTGTTGTCTCATAGGTCTCTGTCGTAACAGTGAAGTTGCGTTCAGCACCATCTGTAACCAAACAAACAAAACATCACGTTTTGATGGCATTACCAGAAAGGTGAAAGTGACTGTGAAAGATTTGCTAAGAGGCCTTGAACATGTTTATCTTAATAAGTCAAAACACAGGGCCATCTTCTGTAAAAAGTACTGTTAGCAACCTGTCTATTGTAATTAAACAATTGCAGTATTTTTTTTTTTATCTGCCTGGATGAATTAAAAAAATTCATTTGTCTGTTTCACCCCAATTGGAATGGTGCTGTACTGAGTTAAAAATGAGTAAAAAGTCATATATGAATTCAAGCAGATTAGCAAGCCATGAAAGTCATAGTACTTTTAATTACTGATGTACTTACCACATGTATGCACTAAAATAATAGAAAGCAAGAGAGTTTTGACCCCCATGAGCACTGATCAGATCTAACTCTAGACTTTAATGTCATCAAACGTCAGAATCTCAACACCCGCTCTGCGTCTGTCACTGAGTGCCCAGGCTCTTCTCTTATGCCAGGATATGATACAGGCAATTTTCAACTATTCAGTGAAAGGAGGTGCTTCAGAAAAAGTTGAGCATCACCCTCAGGAGGTCTGTGATGTTCGCCATTCCTGTTGAAATGCCGTTTCAAATATGAATTTGTGTGATTTTGATGAACACAAACAATAAACATTAAATCAACATTAAAATTAAATAGATCATATGTTTGAAACTAGCTAGGGTTTTTGTGTTAGATAACAGGTTATCAGTGTTAAACATTAGTTCTCATAGCAAAAAAACAAGACACTTTCACAAATCACAATAGGATGATATAAGATGTTGTTTCCTTTGGGTATGTCTCCACTTATGCAGAATGACTGAATTAAATTACTTTATAATCGATTTTGCACAATTTCCATTAGTGGACATTGTACATCCATTAAACACGAGTACAAAATTATGCATGTGATTGTGTGAGTGTTTGTACTGTATATGCTCAACCATCCGTGCTCAACTATCAGAATCCTCTGCCCAGTTTATGTTAATGCTTAAAAAACCAAAAAGGTTAAAGGTCCCCTGAAATGCTTAGAAACACGCAGCGTTACTCTATGTGTTGATGTCATTTTAACTGAAACAGAAAGACAGGGCGGGACATATCAAGCAGCCCTGCCCCTTTTTAAAATAGCCAATAGCGTTCGTTTATATCACAGCTTGGGCTAGAGCCGTTGAGCTCCGTAAAGCCGCATTTGACAGGGTATGCCAGCAACAATCTCATCCATATTGCTATAAAATATAGCATTCTGTGTAGAATTCAAATAGCTCCTATTCATTTTGTGGTCTGCGCCGATTCGCGCATGCGATCCACTCCGTGCTATCGTGTTTCTGGACCGGAGCAGAGTGTGTGTGCGGTGTGGTGGTTAGCGTGACACAGCGCGTCCCAACGCAATTGGAGTAAGTAAACTTATGTTTTACAAGTGTGAATGGATTGCATGCAATGCCATATTTGCTAAAATGTTTAAGAATGGTTCTGCTTTGTGTTTATCATCAGCAGTTTAGAACAATCAGATTTTATCCAAATGTGAACAAAATATACCAACAGGATTAATTTATTACAGCTTCTGAGCATCATGTTAAGAAATAGGCCTAAAACTAGGCTTCAGATAGCAATAGTACCACTTTAATTAAGTAATAACAGGTTGACATTTGATGACATGCATTTATTATATATTTATATATAAAAAATATATATATATATATATATATTCTCTTGACAAATATTTTCTTTTTTTTCCTCCACAAAGAAATCTTTACATGGACTACTATTTCACACTACAATGTGAAAAAATCAAGACCTAATTTTTTTGAAAATCATCTGGCCTTCTCTCATTTTACATATCAATGCTTTTTCGGTATTCAGCAACATTACTGAAGAATGACAGTGTGAATTACAATCACAGACTCCAGACATTTACATATAGAAGTCTTAACAGTACTATAGCAAAAACAACCTGCTGAATTCTATAAGTTAAGAGGGTGTGAAAAATATGACATGTGACATAAAAAAATAGTGAAGTAAAACATTTTCAAAAGACATTGCAAAAAGTATTGCAAAAGACATCTATGACTAGATAACTGTTACATGTCCCTTCTGCTTTTGATCAGATAAATTCAACAAGCAGTAGCATTTAAATTCAGAATAATATGTGTATAATATAATATACTGGAAATGCAATTAATGGAAACTACATACTTGATCTTTTTTTTTTCACACTTTACTGCCTGGTTTTAGTGACATGGATTTTGTCTGTGTGTTACATGGTCAGGTTGTTTTTTCAGTTTTTTCCCTCCTAAACACAGAGCAGGGTAAAGAGCAGGTCCACACACGCCAGGTGAGATTCATGTAGATCACAGCTGGTTTCTTCTCTCGAATCTTACAGGTGAATGTTACCAAGGCCAAAGTGTTCAGGGGCAAACTAATGAGGATGATGAAGATGTAGAACGAGGGCATGACGCATGTGACCAGCAGGCCTTTGAGAAAATCAACAGTCTTGTCTGAGATGGACAGTGAGGAGGAGTTGAGCTCTGCTTGGTCCAGAGTAGAAATAAGGTCTGTTATAGCAGCAAAACTGCCGAGAGAGTTGACTGCAGATGAACATACAAAAGCACATCATCATTATTGAAAGTTACCAGGGCTATTTGGTTATGCCAGGATGTGATACAGGCAATTTTTAACTATTCAGTGAAAGGAGGTGCTTCAGAAAAAGTACCTGATGCTCCTGAACCGAATTCATCAAACATCTGGGTTGAAGACTTCTTGTCATCAATTGGCTCATCAGTCTGTTCAAAGCTACTTACAGAGCTCTCTGCAACCAAACAGACCAAAACACCAGCAGTGAAAACACACAAGCTACTAAAGAGAACTGAATCTCATTTGCAAAGTGGCCTTGATTATGATGTTAAGCTAAATGATTTCCTGTTAGCACTATTAGCAGCCCATCTCTTAATTGGATCTCTATTAATTTCATGCAGGTTCTTTAATGATTCTAGGGTAAAACAGACTCTTAAGACATGCAGGTATATAGAAAGCATTGCTAAGAGTCCATGTAGTTACCTTACTTGTATGCACAAATATAATAGAAAACAAAAGAGTTTTGACCCCCATTAGCATTGATGAGATCTAACTATTTTGAAATCAAGGTGTAATCCAAGATGGCGGCTTGTTAGTCTCATTAGTCTGTTGGCGTTTGTTCATTGTTGTTTGATCCTATATTTTAATTTTTATTCTAAATGGTCTGATGAACAGTGGATGCCTTAAATCTCAGTTTGGAGCCTATAGACTTTTGCACATTTTCATGAATTTGATTTTCAATGCTAAAACTACCACAAAATTACTTGGATTACTCGAATCATAAAAGCGTTGATTTTGCAATGGCTGTTTCTGTTGCATTGTGCCCAAGTGTCATTGAACTCGCTGGAGAGGAAAATTGTCTTACTGCGGGGTAATATTTTAAAGATACCTGTCTTACTTTATTATTTATAAAGAACTTATTTCTTATAGACCATATTTTCTTCCACTTGATGTTTTCATATTTTGATGACCAAAAGACTGTTGAACATGGCACATAATTCTTCTTTAACGCATTTCTAATATATATTTTACTGCATTGATCTTTAACAAGATTAACATCACCAATAAATATCATATCACTATAAGTCAATGGTTGTTGTTGGTCAGCGTTAACAGAAGAATATCCAGAATTACGTAATGATACAACTTGATCAAAAATAACAGCATTGTCTTTTGGTTTCACAGGAATTTTTATTTTTTTAAGGAATTCTGAGTATGACAAATTGCGGACCATGTTCATTAAGCTGTCTGATTAAAGATTCTGCTTATCAATTATTTGCCAAGCCAGCAGTGCCTGCTTATGGAATAATTTAATTGGGATTTTATCAATAGAAAAACTGCATTTTAAAAGAAAATGAATGCCACCCAAATAATTAAATATAAACTTGGGGAATATATTCCACACATCTTTATTTTTGATGTACTCAATTATCCATTTTAACTTAAATACCTCATTGAGGTCTGTAAAATGTAACACTTCAAGGGCCCCAAATTCTTTAATATTATTTATAATATATTTTCATAAATAGTGAGCCTTTTTTCACCAAATAAGCTAGTGTCAAATAAGCTTAATGTGCTTTAAAATATGATGACGCCATTCTTTTTCCATAGGCCTAGGTACAGTGGCAGAACTAGAGTTTTTTTACATGGGGTGGCCAAGGCTATTCAGAGGGTCTATAGACCATGACAGGAAATTTATGTATAACCCCAACTTGGCAGCAACAAAGTATGATATGATTGCTGAGCACATTACCTCACATTAGCTATACATTTCTATACTGTGATTTAAGACACTGTGACTGAACTGCGTGTATTAGCCTACTAGTACACATGTAAACATATTGAATGTTAGGCAAGTGGAACTCTGTTGGAGCAAAAGATATGACTTAAACAGTGACTTTCGTAAAATTTTTTCAGGAAATCTCAAACTTTGGCTGCCAACTTTTGAGTTCAGCCTCAGGCTATTTCGTGTTATAACTAATAGTAAAGAGGAAGAGATGATGGGTTCACGTGCACTCCTGCTTCTATTTATAGTATTCTGTGCTGTTGCTGTATTTTTGTATTTTGTCAATCATTTTTTGCAGTGTTTTGTCCTGTCAAATTAACAAAATAGCAGCAACAACCTTTTTCAGTTTAGTGTGAAGATTTTTTTTTGATTTTGAAGTGTTATGTATTCCAAAAGAATTAAAACAATTTATTGACATAACTAATTATCAGTGAAACTATGTCCCTCTCCTTGGTGCAGTCATTTATTCTAAATATAGGCCTACCCTTCCAAAATAATATGGGAATATACTGCAAAATATAATGCAATATATTACATAATACATTTCCATATATGGTAAACCAGTGCTTATATTTTTCAATATACAGCAATATATGCATTGACAATGTATAGCTATATATTGATATATACAAATATATTTAGAAATGTAGACAAAAATAAATCTAATATTCACAGTTCAATTCTTTATTGAGTATATATTGCACATACATGTTCCCATATAAATGTGAATATACATACATATACACAAAAATTAATGGAATGAGCTACAGCAGATTTCTAGTTCCCAGCATGCTTTGCTTCTGTTAAAGGAGAGTAAAGTTTTAAAATTAAGGCCGTTTCTCAATACCAAGTACGCAAAGTTCAAACTTGCGTCCTCGGTAGTTCAGACTTCGCAAGTTCGACTCGGGAGGACACAAGTCCGGTAATTCTGCAAATGGAACAGCAGCGTACTTGATAACGTCAGTCAGCTCGCCTTGGCTACTCCGGTTATCTACACTGTATGCATTAACAATACGACGAAATATGATATCAAACACCACTGCCTCTTTTTGTTTTCATTTAAACATATTATTAGTCGCAAAAATGTAGTTCAGGGAACGTACATACATTACAGTGAAACAAAATATTATATCAAACAGCATTGCCTCTTTTCTGTTTCATTTAAAATATTAATAGCCTCAAAAATGTGGTTCATGCATTATAGGCCTACAATAAAACGAAATGATATCAAACATCACTGCCTTTTCGTTTCTTCAAAATATAAAACACAACCCTCTTTTTGTTTTCATTTTAAAAATATAAAACATTAATATGTGGTTTAGGTAATATGTGCACATATACTCTGATTATCTTCGGTAATATGTGCACATATACTCTGATTATCTTCACTGTATGTATCATAAAATGAAATATGACAAGCACAACAAAAAAGCCTTTTTTGTTAAATGTCAGTTTTAATGAACAATAATAGCCATTATAAAAGTATAAGTATAAAGTATAAGAGACGTATGTAATAGGAAATAAAGACAAAAGCAAACAATTCAGTCAAATGTATGCAACAAAGTCAAAGTCAGATTAATAAATAAATAATTTATGAAACATAACTTTGTGCTCAGCCAAAATGATATGACCTGCAAGAAATAATAGATTCATGAGACCAAAGATTACTTGTTAGATATAGGCTACCCGAAACAAATTTTACCTCATGTTTAACCACTACAGAGACATCAGAGCCAGCAGCAAGTGTCAGAAGGACTAGCCGAGCTTAGGCTGCTCTCTTTGGGAAACATAAGCACTGAGCGCCCGCTGATCACATGGATCTCACGTCTCCGACATCGGCGAAGCAAATTTTCAAATAGGCGATATCTTTATAAATAAACCACAGATTTGAGGTTTAACAACTACATTCTCTCCTGAAATTCTCTTAGAACTGCATTTCATGACACTATAACAGTAATATTTTGAAAATTTTGCGGGTTTTCCCCTCTGCCATTAAGGCTGATGGCTGATTGGTGCGAAATGCTTTCTGGGATACCTGGCTGCCTCAAGTTCGCACAAGTCACCTCTGGATGCATCCTTGATAAAAGGGGTGGAGCAAGAACACATCCAGGGATTTGAACTGTACTTGGTTAGATGTGAACTTTGAATTGGAACCGTACTTGGGCGACGACTGATGACGTTTCACAAGTCTACAAGAACACAAATACAGACAAGAACGCATATTGAGAAACGGCGTAAGTGTTATTTCATGTGCTTTTGCTCAATATTATTATAGGGGGAGATCTGTTAGTGTTTAAAGGGATAGTTCACCCAAAAATGAAAATTCTCTCATTAATTACTCACCCTCATGTCGTTCCAAACCCGTAAGACCTCCGTTCATCTTCGGAACACAAATTAAAGTGTGATGTGATGTGACATGTGGCCAAGTATGGTGACCCATACTCGGAATTAGTGCTCTGCATTTATCCCATCCAAAGTGCACACACACAGCAGTGAACACACACACACCGTGAACACACACCCGGATCAGTGGGCAGTCATTTTTTTGCTGCGGCGCCCGGGGAGCAGTTGGGGGTTCGGTGCCTTGCTCAAGGGCACCTCAGTCGTGGTATTGAAGGTGGGAGAGAGCGCTGTACATTCACTCCCCTCACCGGTACAAGACTGGAACCCACAACCTTTGCGTTACGAGTCCGACTCTCTAACCATTAGGTCACGACTTCCCCCTACCGGAGATATTTTTGATGGAATCTGAGAGCTCTCTGACCCTCCCATAGACAGCAAGGGTCCTTACATGATCAAGGTCCAGAAACGTAGCAAGGAGATCTGTAAAATAATCCATGTGAGATCAGGGGTTCAAATGTGATTTTAAAAAGCTACGAGAATACTTTTTGTACGCAAAAGAAAAAAAAAAGACTTTATTCAACAATTCGTCTCCTCTGCGTCACCCTAGAGCCATTTTGGAGAGTATCCACTGAACGCAAACAGCGTACGCTGTTTTGTGTCAGCTGCGGCACGCGGATACGCTGTTTACGTCGTTTATGCTTTGATTTGAACGAGAACAACGTATAAGCGTGGCGCAGCTGACCCAAAACAGTGTATGCTGTTTGCAATACAATATGATATAGGGGAGACCAGCGTAAGTTTTTACACTTTTTACTCCAGTCAAAATTTCATTATAGTTTAGAGACCAGAACTTAAAAGTTTGAGAAAATAAGATAATAAAATAAACTTATTTGACAACTAGCCCCCATATTGCAAATATACACGCTCAGATCAGTTATAAAATATAATAATCTGAGAAAATGTGCACAAATTATACATATATTATTCATATGAACATATCATTTAATATGCAGAGATATTTACACATTCAAGCTGGTTAAA